CCCGATTTCAATTAATAACAGGTTAAACCAAAACTCCTTTAATGAAAATGTATTTAATTTCTCCAAGCAAATATTTGAAGATGCCCTTAAAAAAAGTGGTTGAAAATTTTTAACTAAAATTTGACCCTGAAAAAAAGAATCCAAAAAACGGAATAGAACTAGAAATGTAATTTGGTTCAACCCCCCATATAGCAAAAATGTTTTCTCAAACATAGAAAAAGTGTTTTTAAAATTGGTTGATAAGCATTTCCCTCCCTCTAATAAATTACATAAAATTTGTAATTGAAATACAATTAAACTTAGCTACAGTTGCACAAAAAATATGGAAAGAATTATAAAAAGTCACAATAATGCTTTGTTAAATAAAAAAGAAATCCTAAATGAAAAAACTACAGAAAATTGCAATTGTAAACAAAAAAACAATTGTCCAATGAGTGGAAGTTGTTTATCAAAAAATGTGGTATATAAATGTGTTGTTTCCTCTAAGAATATACCCGATAAACAATATATTGGCATAACAGAGGGTGAATGGAAAAAACGTTTTGCCAATCATAAGCAATCTTTTAAAATTAAAAAGTATTCAAAAGACACCATGCTATCAAAATATATATATGGGAAATAAAAGATAAAAATATTGATGATTTAATACTGAATTGGTCCATCCTTAAAACAGCGCCTGCATACAACAATATTTCCAAAAAATGCATAATATGTCTAAAAGATTAATTTCAAATAATTACACATGCAAACCAAGAATGTTTGTTAAATAAAAAATCGGAATTGATTTCTAAATGCAGGCACGAAAATAAGTTTCTCCTATAAAAATATAAAAATAAGTGAGCTCAAATAATAGTTACATTAAATCCTCCCTTTTTTAAAAATATTTTTATTAAAAAAAGCATAAGTAATCATTTCTAAAGAATTCTTTTTATAATAGTGTCAGGAAATTCAAAAAATGGGTTAAAATTTACAGTAGTTAAAACATTTGCAACTTCTTGTAATTTAGTTTTTTGGTATAAATTGAAGTTTTATTAATTTGATCATTCATTTCAGATGAGTCTTTGTTGATGAAACACAGTGTAAAATGAAAAAAAATTTTTGTTAAGTGATTTTCTACTAATTTATATATAAAGTATATATATATATATATATATATATATATATATATATATATATATATATATATATATATATATATATATATATATATATATATATATATATATACATATATATATATATATATATATATATATATATATATATATATATATATATATATATATATATATATATATATATATATATATATGCGACATAAAGCTAATTTATGTTTTGGGGAGGTATTATTTCATTAAGTTTCACAGAGCATTAATGAAACTTTTTTATCATCTCATTATTATTGTATTACCATCTTTTTATTTTTATTTCAATTCACCTCCTCAAAGCCATTAAGGCCACTACAGATGAGGAGGCTACTTTAGTTGTAATTACAACATCTAATCTCAACTCTATAACTCCGAAACACAAACCTTGACGAACAAGACTGCTGCGTGGAGAAACTAGTTGATCGCATTACTACCAGGGGCATGGTGGGGATTGAGCTTAAAACTTCTTGCTTATGAGGCAAGCACTCTACCACTACTGCATCTGAATGCAAATAAACTATTTACCAATATCAACTTATTTTATACATAATATCTCAAATGCTTATTTCCATTTTAGTTTTAAAGAAAGCACAGGTCGCCAAATTCGAAACTGCTGAAATTAAAATCTATTTATCAGCTGAAAAGATATCCTTAGAGCAGTTTTTGGGGAAACTTTTATATATTGTAAAATACTTTGAGTTTCATATAATAGTTGCTTGCATTTTATTCAGTACATATTTTTGAATGAAATAATCATTTTTGGGAAAATTTACAAGAAAAAAATCATTTATCCTACATTTTAAAAAAGGTAAAAATTTGAAGAAAATGCTAATAATCGTAAATTAATATATAACCTATAATGTAAAAAAAGAATTTTAAACCAACATTTTTATGAAAGCTGTTTATCTTGCTACAATACCCGAATATGATTTCAATATTTCAATAAAATATATTTTCAAGTGTCTTTTGAAGGGGTGCGGAAATTATCTCTCTGCTGAAGTTACCCTACTTTACTCTAAAAAACACTTATGTAACATTTTATTATAGTTAAAACTATAAGTTGATTGATTTGGTGTCATATCTACTTCCTCATGTTATTTTTAATGCAGTATCAATAATTCCAGTATCAATAATTCCATAATAAAATCATAATTAGTAAACAACTAAAAATTAATGATAGAGTTGATTCTCTTAAAGATACTTTAGGCAGAACTATTGAAGCTCTTCCTTATATAGTTTATCTTCTGAACTCTCTTTTATAGATTAAACCCATGTTTACTCTCGAAAGCTTTTAATATTTTCCATAGTTAAACAAAAGTGATATTAAATCTGAATGGATTTATAATGACACCTTGGTTTTCTCTATTTCAGTCAATATTAAGGAACTTACCAATCCAAACCCTTTCCATGTCATTAATCAAAGAATTTAATATCAGAGTTTTTTATTTTCTGAAATAATCATTTATTTTAAATCGGGGCCCTCAAAAACACTTAACTCCCTTTCCAGCAATCCAGCACTGTACAGTGGGTTTATTTAAATTTGTTTTTGCTAGTGAATTAACTTTTATGTAATTCTGTTATGGAAAATGCTGGGACATTTGGTGACAACTATACAGTTTGAAGTTAAAATCGTTTTTAATTAGTAGTTATTTTTATCGAGTGACAGGAATGGTGTTGAAAAATAAACTTTAGAATAGTGTTGAATATATTAAAAAAGTCGCTAAAAAAAAAAAGAGTAGTCTTGCAAATAGTAAAAAATAAATTTTTTTGATCTAGATCTAGAAAGATTGACTAATAGAATACCTTCTATTGTAAATGATCAGGATACTGTATTTAATACATCCAACTCATCTGACGCACTGAATTTAAGTGGCAGTGAAAATCAGTCTAGTCCTGCAAAAAAACAAAATCTACAAATTTTTGCATAAAAATTCTATTTAAAAAACTATTTTGAAAAAACTATTATTTAAGTGTAAAAGTTTACATTTGAGTACCAAAAAACAAATTTATTGTTATTGCTTATAATTTTTGATGAAGTAAAAGAGTGTGAAATAGTGTGTAGTAATCATCGAGGCAGTTAAAGTAAAGGTTGTAGGGATTGATGATTTTTGAACCAAATTTATTATAATTTTTATACTTAAAAAAATATAAGTATTAATTATTTGATAACAAAGAAAAGCAATTAAGTTTTATATTTAAAGATAAAAAGTAATTTTGTAAATTCATAAATATCATAGTACTATTTTATAATAAATAATTGGTAATGTGTTTTCTAGATAACAACTGAAGATTGCTACAATACTGCAGATTGTTTTCTTCTTCCTGAGTACTGTACAAATAGTGACAACTGTGATGTTCTTGTTAAATATAGTTTTGATTCTGTTAAAAGCATGTTCTCAGTTACTTTAGCAACAAATAAAATATGGGTTGGTTTTGCACAAACATACAATTTAAATATGACACAAAAAATGGTATCAAAGTTTTTATCATATTTATATGTGTGTTACATGCATACATACATACATACATACATACATACATACATACATACATACATACATACATACATACATACATACATACATACATACATACATACATACATACATACATACATACATACATACATACAGAAGTGTAGACAGGAATTTATTTTGTTTGAGAGAGAAAATTTCACAAATGGAGCAAAATCCAAACTTTTATATTTTTATACTTACGTCAAATAAGAATGATTTGCAAAAAGTTGTGATGATTGGAGTCTGGGAACAAAGAAGTCCAAAAAATTTTGCCTTTATTGCCCCAAATGTGAAAGCAAAAAGTTGACAAAATATTTTTTAAACTATTCTCAACTAGACTTATATTTATCAATAAATCTTAGTTTCATAGTAAAGTTTCTCAGCCTTCAAAAAATATGATCTTACAAAGATTGAACCAACTAAATTTGAAGGGGTTACAAATTATAAATAGTCATAATTTTTTAATGCTGAGAGATTATACTATAAAACTTAAAATTTATCAATGAATATAAGTTAATGCAGTAGTGGTGTAGTGATAAAATGCTCGCTTCATAAGCGAGAGGTTCTGAGTTCAATCCCTACCACATCCCTGATAGTACCGCGCTCAACTTGTTTCTCCGCGCAGCGGCCTTGAGGAGGTGAATAACAAACAAACAAAAAACTCTAGTTGAGATTAGTTAAATAAATGTTTTTTCAACTTGCTATCACGTTTGGGGCAAGAAGGGCAAAAATTTTGGGGCTTTTTTGTTCCCAGACTTCAATCATCACAATTTTTTGCGAATCACTCTTACTTGATGTAAGCAAAAATACATAAATGTTTGGAGTTTGCTCCATGCCTAGAAGTTACCTCTCTCAAACTACAAAAAATGCTATTTATGCCTCTGAATACATACAGGTAAATATAAAGTGATTTGTTTGATAATTTTGGTGTATTGTTATTCTTCAATTTTATTTTTAGCAAAATATAAAAGGAGAGATTTGCTTCAATAATAATTCTATTGCATCCATAGCTAATTTTCATGGACTAGGTAACACAAAACCAAATTTTTCTTCATTACAAAATGGAATCAATGTAAAAGAAATGTATGTATTGCCAAGTGGCAGTGTTGTTTGCAAATATTACAGAAGTTTGTTAGCTCCAGTTGACAGTGAAGAATATATGTTTTCTCTTGACAAGCCAGTAAATGTTGTCTATGCATATGGAATGAATTTAAGAAATGATAGTTACCCTAGTTATCATGGGCCTAAAAATCATAGTTATTATTCTGAAAAAGTTGACATGAAAAAAATAAGGCCCAGAAGTGATAGTATGGTAACAAATATTTTTGTTTATTTTATTACAGTAGGGTAAAGTAGGGTAATTTTATTGTTTTTATAGACAATTATTGCTTTTAAATCATGCATATCAATGTCCTGCAAATGTATCTATAATATAACAGTTAAAAAATTATTTTAAGCTATTAAGGTTTTTATGTAAATATGTTTTAAAAAATACTAATAAATTAAAAAATAGTTACTATTGCGGACTAAGGTAAAAAAGGTAAAAATTTGAAGAAAATGCTAATAATCGTAAATTAATATATTACCTATAATGTAAAAAAAGAATTTTAAAGCAACATTTTTATGAAAGCGGTTTATCTTGCTACAATACCCATTTCATCTCTATAAGAGACTCAAAGGGCATTATCTTAAGTTATGAAAGACTTTTGAATATTTTTGCTGCCCTTTTCTACTCAAAATTTTAATAAAAGCTATATTTAATGTCTTCTTCTCCTTATTATCCGAAGTTAATAACAAGTTTTGATTTTATTGCTACACTGTATATAACATTAAATGTTTTTGATTTAAATTTTGATTGTGCACGGCATGTAATAACGATATTTTCATTGTTTGAAATTTTTATTCAATCATTAACAGATCATTAACAGATCTTGTTTCCACTTTAAAATATTGTTGATCACCTTCTAATTTGCTTTGAACTAAAAATTGTATTTCCAATTATTTTCAGTTGGTTGTACTGTACTGTAGAAATTAACACAATGTTCAATGATACTCCTTTAAAGTGTTATAAAGCGCCGGTTTTTTAGTTTTTTCGTTCTAACCTTTAGTTTCTTCAAAAACAGTTGCATTTAGTGTTCTTATTATACTAGTTAGAAAGACCACATCTTTTAGTGACCACCACATCATATCTTTTAGTGACTCTTATATAACAGACTTAACAAAGACCAATTAATTAATTAATTGGTCTTTGTTAACCAACAGGTTTATTACCTGAGTTTGACCTGTGAGAATTTTGGTTGAATTTCAAATAAATGGCTGAATTTCAAAATTGAACTCCAATCTGATAACAATGTTTTAGTAACAAGTTTTTAACATGTTTTTATAAATAATTGTGAATTTTGTTTTAATTAAAATTCAAATATAATAAAAGTATAATTTCGAAAATTATACTTATTATATTTAAATTTATATTTGAAAAATGTCTTATCTAAATTTTGTTAAACAGCTATTTTTATAGCCAGACATCTTTGTAAAAATATTATTTGGCATTTATTACAATAAATTTTGACTCTTGGTAAGTATTTATAAATTTTATTTATAATCAAAAGTTGTTTACTAAAATATATTAAAATTTTTTTTTTGGCAAGATAGTGTTAGGTCTTTGTCAGTCATTATGAACTTATGAATAAATAAACAGGTTTGTTTCAAGATAGATAATAACAAAACTTTTTTATCTTTTTGTACCTTATAAAATTGATTTTTGTTATAAATAAAATTTATAAAATCTTGCACCTACAATGGAGTTACTATTTGCACCTACAATGGAGTTACTTTATTTGGTTTTTATCTTTTATGGTAATATTAAGTCTTAAATTTTTTTGCTTGTATTTAAAAAATTATTGCATGTATAAATTGTACATTGCGTCAGATGAATATTTTCAAAAAATGTTTTTTTTTTTTTTTTTTTTTTTTTTTTGCAAAATACTTGTTTTCAGCTTTAGTGACCGTTTTAGCGATGTTATGAGTCATTTAAAGAATTATTGAAACATTTTTATAAAAAAACTCATTCGAATCAAAATCAAAAAAAAAAGTGGAGGGAGAGGGGCATACTTATTTTCTTGACTTGACAAAAAATTTTCTGTACACCCCTCTGAAATGGGTATTAGTTTCAAATTTTTCTTGCAAACATAGAATACACTTATTGGAAATACTATTGTATGCTAGAGTAGCTTTTAAAATAATCCAGTTTAGTTTAAAATTTTTCTTTTTGTTGCAAAATATATTTTGGTCAAACTTGGGAGTGGTCAAAAATTTTTTTTTTTTTTGTTTTAGCCAATATATTGTTTATCAGCCATTTTTTGTGGGCAAACGATCCAGTTCTAAAATATTTTTTGATAAGCATTTTCCATTCATAGAGTGAATAATGTTTTGTATTTCATGTACAAATACTCTTCATACACACAAGTTTATACACTCATGTGTATGAAGTGCATCTTCATACACACTGGTTTGTACACCTATATGTATTAAGATGCACTTCATTAGGAATTTAAAATATTTAATCCTACAAGTTTGCAGGTTTTTGCTCTCTTGTAAATTCCCATTACTATATCAAAGCATTTTTGGATGATTTTTTTCTTTAATTTCTCCTTATTAAATAGTAAAATAGAGTAAAGTTTTTCTACAATGTTTAATTAGACAAATAGTGTCCTCTATAATTTCTATGCAGATTTTTCCTGGTTCTATTTTTTAATCTAAAATTTTTGTTGTAATTGAGGGGTAAAAAAATTCAAGTATACTAATTTTAGAAAACCTATTAACAACATTAGTGGTATTTTTCCACTGCTGCAAATTTAATTTGTTGAATAATATTATTTATTTTGTCCAATTTAATTTTACCAACGTGCCCTAGCTCACTTTTTGAAGAAACTAGTAACCTACTAGGGAAATTATTTTGAAAACTTGGTTTGTGATCATTTAGTATAACAAATTCTAGCGCTGGTGCAAGTGATTCGATTCTGTTTTGACCTTTTAAAGTAATTGTATTTTCTTACGTTTTTAGTGGCATTTGCATGGTTATTAGAATTAATAATATTGTGCAGTATTTTGTGATGATTATCGGGGATAATTTAGTATATGTATATGTTGCTTGATTTATCAGCAAAAACTAAAATATTAGGTTCGATTTTATATTATTGTCTTATTTGAGTGTTTTTTTTTGTGGAAATTATTACTTATATTGTAAAATTTTGTTTTTTTCAAGTAAATTATTACTACTGCTCTATTTTTGCTAAATTTTATATTATTTTAACGTATCTAAATTTCAATACAAATTTTTTTTTAAATTTCATATTTCTTTATTTAAAAAGATGGATTTTTCTAAATGTGGAAAAGAGTTGAATTGTTTTCTAAAGCCTGTTGGTTGTATAAAAACCTGTAAAGTTGCAGCAACATTTAAATATGACCCAAATTCAGAGAAAGTTGTTTTCCAACTATGGGCAAGCAAGTCATTAAAATATGTTGCATTTGGACAAAAGCCAAATAATAACAATAATTTTATGGTACATATTTGTTAGTAATTATTACTAAATAATTTTATAATAAGTAATATTGCGAAAAATATTTTCAAAATTGAACAAATTAAACCTTTTGAATTCTTTTTTATTTAAAATTTTCTAGATTAAAATTCGTGGTGAGTATTGTTCCCGATCACAAGTAGTAGGTTTTGGTCATTTTAATGGTAACAACTTGAATAAAGCTGGAACACCACAATGGCTTTCTGAAGTACATTTTTTTAGTGCTAAACTTATAACCGTTTTTTTGTTTTTTGCTTTTTTTTGTTATTTTTTTTTAAGGTAATAAAAAAAATTTATGTTTATTTTAGGTAGACCAAGTCAAACTTCTTTTATCAGAAGTCTTGCCTGATGGCTCTTTTCTTTGTAGGTAATTAGTAATATTTTTTTATTTTAACTTGATGTTAAAAAATCACTTAAAAGCAAAAAAAAAATTAATTAATAATCTATTGGTTACTAAAGTTCAATATTGTTTTTAAAAAAATACTATCATATATAACTAAAAAGTTGAAAGAAATATATACTTGAAAAATAGATAAATATTGTATTGTTTGAAAAATAGATATATTAAATGACAAAAGCTTCAATTAAAATGTTTTTGTGCTTTAAGGGGAGGGGGTTTTTAAGAGTATTTCTTGAATTTTTAAAAAAATGTAAAAAAATAGTTCTTTTAACCTAAGAGTAAAAGACCAAAAATACATACTTACTATGACATTTATTTAGATATGAAAGGCCTTTAGTGTTGTCTAGCAAAAATATGGATTACTTATACGATATGAGTTATCCTTTGTATGCTGCAATTGCTTTTGGAGATTCTTTATCAGGTATTAATTTTTTTTTGATTTCCATTAAAATTAAATAATAATTATTTAACAATAATTTATACATTTATAAGTCTAAAAATATAAATAAGTAATTTAATGTTAACAATTTAAAAACTCCATTCCAATCAAAGTATACCCTACTAAACAACAGTCACCTGCATTTACTATAATAGTCAACAGATACATTGTTTTTATTGATCGAACAATTATTTGATCAGTATTTTAATAAACATGATATAATGGTATTAGATTTGAATTTATTAAAGCAAGTAATCATGAATTACTTATTCTGAAAAGTTAAATTTACATACTGTATGTATAAGCATTTGGCTGTTCTACATACCATAAAATTAAATGTTAATTCATTGCAATGCAATGATTGAGCACATGCATTGACTGACTTAAATAAAGAGAACATACAAGAGATGTGTTTATTTTTATGGTATAAATAGCCAATTGCATATATATATACAGTATGTATAAATAATCACACCCTAAATTTAATCTAAAGTATAACAGTAAAAAAAATAAACACAATACTGACAAAGTCTCCCAAAGCTAAATGATAAATTAAAGCAAAAGCTTCATCCAATAGCAGAATATAAAAAATATAAAGGAAGCAAAATCCATAAAACTGTTCAAGGAAAAAAACTAGACAAATAAGAATTTTTTGCGCATATAAGATCAATCACAGTAAAAGAATGAGACTTTATTGAATAACAAGTAACATGAGAATGAATTTTAGTAGATGGCACAAGAGATGTTAACTCTTTAAAGCAGCGCCCATGATAGTATTTATAGATAAGAGAAAAAGAACCAACATTGCAACATTGTGACAATGGTTGAAAGTTGGCTGCAAGAGCAGATTCAACTTTGTTTACAATACATTTTTGCACCTTGTCTGAAAGAGAAAGGGCATCATTAGAAGATTTGCTCCAGATATGGTAACAGTATTTCGTACAAGGACGGGTTTGAGAGATTTATAGAGGTGAAGAATAGAATACGGAGTAAGAAAGTTGGGAGCACACTAAAGAAAGTTGCAAGCATACTAAAGAAATTTGCGAGCACACTAAAGAAATGCAACCTTAGCAGATGCTAATTTTGCAATGGATTTGATATAAGGTTTCCAAGAAAGATTGAAAGTTAATCCTAGAAGATAAAGGGCAGATCATTCATTGAGTACATTACCATTCATAAATATAGGAAGATCTAGATTGTTTCAATAATGATTAGCTAAAAAAAATTAAGTTTTATCTGGGTTAAAGTTCACCAGCCACTGAGAGCCCAATAGCCCAATGCTGTAGCAGAAGTGAGATTTTTAAGCTCAAATGTCCCATTTATATCTTTACATTATCTTTATATTTATGTTAATATAGTATAGTAATTTCTAATACTAATATCAGCAAGTTAATATTAGTATTAGGTATTGTATCTAATATTAATAATAATATCTAATATAAAATACAAACCTTGTTTGTCAAGGTTCCTGTTTCGAAGTTAAAGAGTTAAGAAACAGTTATTATCACAATAAAGTAGTCTTGACTGTAGTGGCCTTCTTGGCCTTTGGGGAAGGGAATTACATAAACAAATAAAAAAATTTGTACAACTTATTTAGTTTTTAATTTTTAAATGAGGTATGTTCTACAGTATTTAAATTTATATTTAAGTGTTTATTATAAATAGTTATTTATTTAGTTAATATTATTTTTAACAATTTAAACAAAAAAAAAAATTTAATTTCTCTGTCTTTTGCTTTCAACTACAATAGCTTTTATCCACATTATTTTTTGCTCATTTTCCATACTTTTCATAAAATTCAGTTTTTGCTCACATGACTCATTCGTTATCATTAAAGAATTTTATTTTTATTTTTTAAATTTTAGTATTACCAGAACTATTTTTTTTTTTTAGGCTTATTATTTTTTGTAAATATATTTTAATAATACAAAGTTTAATTTTTTTTTCAGGAGATTTTCCTGACTACCACAATGGTCATGAAATATCTAGTAATGCAATCAATTTTAAAGTAGTTAACGATGTAAACATTGACACTCTATCTATTCAATTAAAAAAAGCTCATGGTAAATTGTTTCTTCTGTTAAGTTTATGCTTTTATGGGCTTTTATTAAATTGTATACTATGTATGCTCTAATTTGAAAACTTAAAAAATAATCAAGCTTTCACCAAGCTTGATATGTTTACTTGTTTATTTAGCTGAACTTTTTATTCATTTTTATATTTATTTTTTTCGCTAAATTTTTTTGTATATACTATTTTATTTTAAATTTTGTTCACAAAAAGTTATTTTGAAAGTTTGTGGGTAGGAGAAGCTCATAAGCTTTAAATAACTATTTTTATTAGAATTTTAGTAAATTGTGGGCTTGTAAAAAGCTTTGACACATATGACGCTGTGTTTTGGACTCACTCTTAAAAGTTGGTTTTGAAGTTGATGGTTGAGGCTTAGAACCAGATAGAAAAATTGAAGGGTCTTCAAAATTTAAGTGATTTTAGTGTTTTTGGTTTTGAAAGGTGAGGATTGAGGTTTTTCTGGTTGTGATCATCTGGTTCATCTTTGAAAAATGTATCCCATTACTTAGTGTTTGATTTAACCACAGCATAAATATCTTTGACAAATTTCTGAACAAAATTAAATTAATTGAGTTTTGACTTCAAAAAATAATGATGCTTATAAATTGTTATTTTTTTACTTTTATTTATTTAAGATGAGCAAAATAAACAAAGTTTTTTTTATTGATTTGTTAAAATCAAACTCCTTTAGCTTCAAATTGACATAAATTTCCATGGTTTGCATCTATGAAATAAAATATAGTTTTTACAAAGGGTTTATTTTGCAAATTGAAGAAAAAGCATAAAATATTTGTTTTGATGCAACTCATTACATTTTTTCCTACCTTTTTTCACTTTCAGCTAAGTTGTAAGAAACCACTATTCAAGTTCAAGTTCTAAGTAAGTTCAACCACTATTCTCTATTACATAAACTATAGTGAATTATAAGTCAGGAGTTACTAGAATGTAAACACTGTGAAAATGGATACTGTGTAAATGTTAAGACTGTGAAAATGAATGACAGAAGACTAAAAAAAAATTTAAGTTGCATGAATCAATAAAACATAAGACTGGAAAAACTTTTGAACCATTGAGGTTTAAGGCAAAAAACTAGATAAATAAATATTTTTTGTGCATAAATAAACAGTTGCAGTAAAAAAATGTGAGTTTGCTAACAATAGAAGTTGTGTAAGTGTGTCTTTTTTTGGGAGAAGTAATAAGAGCAGATTGTGAGATGCTAGACTTGCCTTTGTAAATGACATTATTAAAGATTTTCTAAATGTTTCTAGAAATTAACATCTAATATGACATCTAATGTCATCTAATATGACATCTAGTATGACATCTAATGACATCTAATATGACAATATAACATCTAAAAGTTTTGATTTAGTTATCTGATGATAATTGATCTTAGTGTTGGACATTAGTTTTTTGCAATCAGTTATTGCAATGATAAAAAGACAATTGTTCTCAGGAGAGCTGGGGAGAGCTGTTTTGGTAAAAAAAGATGAAAGATTAAGATTTGAAAGAATAGCATAAAATAAAAAATTGATAAAACTCAAGAATAGCAATACTAAATAAATATAATAATATATTTTAACCTTCACATAAACTTGGATTGCAAACATTGAAGAACAATAGCATGTTTATATATCTTATGTTGAACTTATTTTATTTTAAAAAGAATGTTGTAAATTTCTTGTGAGTTTGAAATGGGTGATTTAAAAATTACTCTTAAACTTTCAGCATATACTCTTTTTTGATAAAGAATAAAAAGTTAATTTTTTTGCAACTGTTTATTTATATGCAATAGTTGATACATTTTAGATCTTTTTACCTGCAATATTGCAACCATTTGCTGCAACCATTTGCAGTATTTTGCTGATTTCCTAGTTATCTAAAAAGATAGTTTTAAATAAATTTTAAAAACATTTTTCAAATCTTTTTTTTTTAACTTTCTTTTGTCTTGATATTATATTTGTCTTTTGCACTTTTTTTTAGTTTTATAATTGTTTGATCCAAATAAAATGTTTTGTGAAAATGATTCAAATTGCTGTTTAGGAAGTCTAATGGTACTGTCTTGGATTTTGTTTGTAACTTGTGGTATATTTATATCCCGTTACATGAAACCATTTTTAACTAATAAAATAGCTGGTAAAGATGCCTGGTTTCGAGTAAGTTTAGCTTAACTACACACTTTTTAAACACTATTCTTTAAATTTATTATTTTTTGTTTTTTATTTAAATTTATTATTTTCAGATTCATCACATCTTCATGCTGTTGGCTTTGCTGTGCATGATTGTTGGTTTTATTATAATTCTAGTCGTTTTTCAAGGAAAGTTGTACTTGGTAAAAAATTTTTATTAACAAAATTAAAATGTTTTGAAGTCTTGAATGATTCGACTGAATTGTTGATTTTTAATAAAAATCTTTTTTAGAATGATATACATCATTGGCTTGGGTTCTCTGTTTTTATTCTTGGGCTACTGCAGGTGAAATTTTTAATTATTTATTTTTATTTGCTGCTTTAGAAAAAAACTTTTCTTTAAAAACTATAAATTTTGACAACTTTTGAAATAAAAAACATGAAAATTATAAAATAGCATCACTCAAAAAATTACAAAGTCAACTTCTCATTTTTGAATATTTTGATCAAGTAGTGATTTATTAACTTTTAATATCAATTATCAAAAACAGAGTTTTTTATTTTTGTTTCTTATATGTAGTAATAAGTTTAAAAAAGCTGAAGTGCTTCTTGTTTTTTATATAAACCAGTAAGTTTAAAAAAGCTGAAGTGCTTCTTGTTTTTTATATAAACCAGTAAGTTTAAAAAAGCTGAAGTGCTTCTTGCTTTTTATATAAACCAGTAAGTTTAAAAAAGCTGAAGTGCTTTGAAAATCATGTAAAGAAGATATTTTTATACTTATTTATTTTACATAAAACAGGTTTCTTTAAAACAATTTATTTAAAAAAAAGCAAAAAAAAAATTGAAGTTGTGTCATCATTTAACAAATTGAATATATTTTAGAACCAACAGATGTATATTGTCTAATTTTTTTATGCTTTTATATTATTAAAATTTCTACAAAACCAACTAATCCAATTATCTAAATATGATCTTGTTTGTCAAACGCTGTAGTTCAAAGAACACTGTAGTTACTCAGTAATAACAAGTTGTTAAATCTTTGGGTTTTCTAATAGGAGTCAGACCTATGCAGATTACTATTTATGAAGTTATTTAGGGTTTATTATTTTATTTTAGATCATTTAATCAAACAAAGTGTAATGGTATTTGTTTAAAGCTTGATTTGAAATTAAAAATCAAATTAGTTTAAAACTAGAGTAAACAAACAATCTATTAAATTATTGGGCCTTTGAAAGTGTTATTAATCTATTTTTTATATAAATGTTATCAAATAATCACATGAGTTGCCTCGCTATAAACATATGCCACAATTCACTCATGTTTTTTGCCATAAACATATACCACAATTTACAATGTGTCTTGATATCAGATTTGAATCTCCAAACAACTTATACATTTTAAATAGTATCACATCACTGTTTCTTTTTTTTTTTCTCTTTTTTTTTTTAAAAACTTTTTAATATCTTCATATTTATCTCTCCAAGGCCAAAGAGGATTCTTATTTTATCTTTTGAATGTGTTACCTCACTTGATACAACTCAAAAATACAACTCTTGGTGAAAAAGGTCTCTTAATAAAGAATCAAGTTAAGCATGTTAGTATCATTGATGTGGTTTAAACTTTGTATCTTTTGTTTACAAAACAAGTTTTCTGCCACTACAAGTGTTCCTACAAATGCAAATACTTTTTATGTGTTTAGTTATAACATTGAGAAAGTCTTTTATCCTTATTCTACTGCTAATATTTTTGAACAGTTAGTGGTTGTCATGTTGAATTTTTTAGAGTTTACTATTTTTAATTAATGCAAAATTTTTAGAAAATAAAGTGCATAATAAGTGTTTTACATATATGTTTTAATATTTATATGATTCTTAGGTCATTTAATATCTATATGTTTTTTAGGTCATTTAATAATTATGTTTCTTAACTCCTTTAATATCTATATGTTTCTTAAGTCATTTAATATCTATATGTTTTGTAAGTCATTGAATTTTTAATTTTCAATTTATTTAAAGCCTGTACTTGCAACTTTTCGATGTGCACCAGACCACAAAAAGTAAGTTATTCAATTAAAAGATACAACTTTATGGTTATAACAGCCAGTATAAAACAAGTATTTTTCTAATATATATTTTTCATTTATATTGTTGATTTATTATTCATTTTACTGTTAAATAATTTTCAAAACATTCTGAATTCAGAATTTTTTTTAGATCAGAGTTTCATGTTCTGGATTCTAGATCTAAATTGATCTGGATATTGAAAGTTATTTTAAATATATAAGCATGAAAATATTAATTGCTAAAAATTGTAAAAAATTTATGATTTTAATTTAGTTAATTTATGATATTTTACAATAATAAGTTCAAGCAGAAGTATTGAGATTTGCACCAAAGTTAAAAAAAGTTGAAAATAAATTTTTTTTTGAATAATGAAATATTTCTTTATATATATATATATATATATATATATATATATATATATATATATATATATATATATATATATATATATATATATATATATATATACATATATATATATATATATATATATATATATATATATATATATATATATATATATATATATATATATATGTATATATATATATATATATATATATATATATATATATATATATATATATATATATATATATATATACACCAGTAATAAGAGTAATTTTTCGGTAGACAGTGCTCAATACAAAAGTAGAGCAAATATATATTATATTAAAATAATAATAAAATACAATTAAATTTGTAACATAACTCAGAGTTTCACGCTATATGCAATCATCAGGCGTTACAAACAACCATAACAACAACAAAAATTATATACAAAAATACAATACAGTGTTAGCTTAGATGACGTTAAAGTTGCAGATAACAAATTTGTTTTTGTGGCGACATTTAGATATTAATTCATTTCGCTTATTTAATAGTTTCAAAGGTGATGTAATGATATGGTATTTTTCCATTAAACAAAGGTTACATAACTTTCTTCCAGGTTTAAAAGGTTCTGCCCTATCAATAATTTTCCACGTAAGAATAGGATTTGAAAATCCCTTTTTTTTCATTTCCCAGATATATTTAGAAAGTTCTGTGGCATTAGCTTTACTTTCGTATTGAAAGGAGTTCTTACCCCACCAAAACCAAATCAAGATCACGAAACATTATTTGGTTTAATCCTCCATTTTCGCAAAATGTAAAAATCAACGTCGCAAAAACTTTTCTAAATCTAATTGAAAAGCATTTTCCAAAGACACTATTAAAAATATTATCAACTCACACAATAAAAAAGTGAGTTGATAATATCACAAAGATATTATCAACTCACACAATAAAAAAGTATTATCTAATGTTTCCAACACAATTGTTCCAACGTGTAACTGCCAGCAACCTTCACAATGTCCTTTGCAAGGTACATGTCTTAGTAAAAATATAATTTACGTCTGCAATGTTAAAACATCACCACAGGATAGTGGTTTAAATTACATTGGTTTAACAGAGCACACCTTTAAAGATCGCTGGTACAAGCATAAGAACTCCTTTCAATACGAAAGTAAAGCTAATGCCACAGAACTTTCTAAATATATCTGGGAAATGAAAAAAAAGGGATTTTCAAATCCTATTCTTACGTGGATAATTATTGATAGTGCAGAACCTTTTAAACCTGGAAGAAAGTTATGTAACCTTTGTTTTATGGAAAAATACCATATCATTACATCACCTTTGAAACTATTAAATAAACGAAATGAATTAATATCTAACTGACGCCACGAAAACAAATTTGTTATCTGCAACTTTAACGTCATCTAAGCTAACACTGTATTGTATTTTTGTATATAATTTTTGTTGTTGTTATGGTTGTTTGTAACGTCTGATGATCGAATATAGCGTGAAACTCTGAGTTATGTTACAAATTTAATTGTATTTTATTATTATTTTAATATAATGTATATATATATATATATTTATATATATATATATATATATATATATATATATATATATATATATATATATATATATATATATATATATATATATATATATATTCTTTTTTGTCATTTTAAACATGGTAATCAATTTCTACTGAAAAATAAGATTTGAGTAAATTCAAAAAATCTTATGCAATTATTTTTATCAATTTCTTAGTGTTTTTAGCTTCCCATTTTTATATGTAAACCACATAAATTGCACTTTAAAATATTTAAAATGACAAGTTTCTAGCTGATTTGTTTTATTGTTTTCTTTGGTTTCAAAACTTAAGATTTCTGTTTAGCATTGGAATAGTTTATGTTTGGATATAGTTTACCTTTTATTGTAGTAGTTGATGGTTATATATTATGACAGTATTAACTTGATAGTATTAGAACTTTCTGCTTTTGTATTAGGTGGTAAAGCATCTACAAAGGATTACATTGTATCAGGTGGTAAAACATCTACACTTTTTTTTTCCAACTACAATTATAATTCTGTAAAACAAAATAAAAAATATATAAGAATGAAAAACTGAACTTATTTTTTGCTGAGTTAATTAAAATTTGTAAAGTTTAAATATAAATTTACTTAATTTAAAAAAAATTTGTTATACCCAATACTCTCAAGTCTTTTTTATTTTTTTTTTACTTTATAATTTTTTCTTCAGGAAAATCTTATACATTATAGTTTTTTTAGTTATTTTTACTGATATTTTACACTAATGTCAAGTTGTATAGCTTTCTCTTTTGCAATCCTGATAGGGGTCTTTACAAGGACTCTTTTCTATAATTGATTGTTTCAATTAAATTTTTTTTTGTAGTTTATAGTTAGACAGTAAAGAGATGCATATTTAGCAGATCATTCTTAGCAGGTGCTTATAATGCAATGAGCATCTAAGAAAGCTCAGTAATAGTTTGAGAACTATTCAGCAAGTATCTTGGCATTCATGTATTAGTATCAGTTTTATTGCCAAAAATAGATTTTATTTAAGTGAAAGTTGCAAAAGTGGTCATAATTGTTTTTGAAAATAGCAACAAAGTTTGCTGCTTTCCAACCAAAAAAACAGAATTTTTTATTGCTTTCTAGCAAAAAAATGTTAATTACTTTGTGTAGTGATAGCAAATAAAAGTAAATTAGTACCAATAAGATATGATAAAGTAAATAAAAAACAATAATAATAACAGTTTGATTGATAACAGTTGATTTTATTTTCATTTAGTATTTTAATTTGTTTACTTTTTTTATTCAAATTAACAAAAAATATAATATTAGTCATAATATCATATAAATGTATATATATATATGATATTATATATATAATAAATAAAGGATTTTGAAGAAAATTTTTTAAAACTTTTTTTCTATTCAATATTTGTTTACTTGATTTAATCCGATAGTAATGATAACCAAAACTTATTACCAGTACAATCAAACAACAACATATTAGCGTTTGTGTGCAAATATATATATATATATATATATATATATATATATATATATATATATATATATATATATATATATATATATATATATATATATATATATATATATATATATATATATATATATATATATATATATATATGTATATATATATATATATATATATATTCATATACAGTGTTTTACGGAAAGGCGTGTGATTGCACGCAGAGTTGTTAACAAGGTCAAAAAGTAGCAAGGCCAAGGCCACATGTTATAAGGCCAAGACCAAGGCCAAAAGTTACATGGCCAAGGCCACTTGTTATAAGGCTATACTTTTTGCTTTAAGGCCAGGTCAAGGCCAAGGACTAATAACTCTGATTGCACGTCTTATATGATCACTAGGGTGCATCACAACATTAGGAAAAAAAACTGTGTTTACTTTTGAGTTGTCTGTGTTTCCATTGTGTTCCATTATGCTAACAAATAATATGGGTGAAAGAATTTTAAAATCAAACAATGTTTAGAGGTCCCACCAAGAAAAAAACAAAATTTGTGGAATCATGATACAAAAATGATCATTAATTAATTTTCTAGCTTTATTCTAGCATATTTTTTGTCAATATAAATGTTTCATTGTTTTTAATGCTATAACTATGGTAATGATGTCTTTTAAATTGATAAATAAAACAAAAATCACTATAATAATAAAAATGTAATTAAAAAAATTCTTAATTCTTATAAAAACGTGCAAATTTTACGAAATATTTTAAAAAAAAAAACTTATTTCAAGTTTGGAAAGAATCTAAATTGTACTGTTAGTTCATAGAATAGTTTGATGCTTATTATCATTGCTTAAGCACCATTCATCTTATATAATCAAAGTACTTCATTGTTGCAGCGTTTCCAGCGCAGATTTAAAGCATCTCTACGATCTTTTTTGACAACTTGAAGAACATTTTGAAAGTGTTTGTCGGATCTGGCAGTTTCGACAAAGTCTGATGCTAGTTTGACACCTCTCTTGGCACAATCATTTACAACATTTACAGCTGCAACATTTGTGGCACAGGAAATGTAAGCATCAGACTTGCTCCAATAACTGACAGAAATTTTCAAGAAGCTGGTGTCCAGCTGAAGCCGATTAATTGTGAACCACGAATTAACTCCAGCAAGGTCACAAAGTTGTGTCGAGCACTTGATGGACAATGGAAAATGTGGCTTTCATTTCCAAAGCGATCTAGTGGAGCTTCTAGGACATTCACAGGCCTGAGCTTAAGCAAGGCATCTGCCAGAACTCGTCGTTCTGACATTGGAACACATTCACTGAACAGAGCAAGTGGAATCATTTTAGCTGTGAGATACCAAAGATAACAATTAAGTGCTTGAATTGCAAACTGAGATATATCCTTGTCAACAATTTCATTATCCAGAAGGCGCTTGTACAGCTGTAGATCATTCCATGGTGAATCAACAGTCTTCTTACACGTGAGCTACCACACACCATAGACATTTGTAATAAATGTGACAAAACAACGCACCTTGGTTACTTGATGATTAGTGGTAATGGTTCTTGCTGGCAGTTCTCCAATTTGCATCTCACGGAGTGCAATTTTGAGGCTGTAGATGAGCTTTGCCATCCATCGAGCCTTATGCAGAGCACCAGGTCTCCAAAATTTCACCTCATCGTTAGATGCAGATAGAAACATAAGTGATAGTTCTGTGAACTCATAGTAATCATCACACAGAAATTCGACATCTTTAGCAGCACGATCAATCAGCTCAATCTTCATTTTAGTCAATAGGTCTTGCAACTGTGTGTCATGATCAGCGGGCGAAGAGGAACTATCTGAATTGAATTATGTGGTATCAGATCCCAATTGCTTTGCAACCTTGTGAAAAGTCTGACATCTGGTGATTTGGATGCTTCTATTTTGAAGTCAGTAAAGACTTCAAAATAGAAGCATCCAAAGGAGTTGTGTGAGGACTTGGGATAACAGATACAGTTTTACTAGATGATGATGGTTCTGGAAAAAAGAGAAAAACTTGCAAAAAATACTGTACTTTTCTAGATTCAAAATAATTTCAAACTACTTCAGCATCACATCACCTAGGCTAGTGGACTCGAGTTTGAACACACATCAGATTTTATTAAAAATCTCCTCAGGGTTAACTAAATACTGGAGGATAAAAAAAAAAACTTCAACATTTATATTTTAAATAAAATTTAGAAATTAATTATATTGCTGACATTGGCTATGCTTTATTTTATAATATGCTATACTATCCTATGTGCCACATTTATAATTCTATATATTAACTGAATAAACTGATAGTCTTTTAAACACTATACACAGTACACATAAGCAATTTCAGTTTCTTAATTTTTTTATAAAAGTTACAAATAATAGAGCAAACAGTGTAAATTGTGAATAATACTGTATATTTACCAATCTGTAAAGATGATTGTTGATAAATCATGATAATTTATATAACTTCTGAATGGCAGACTATCATAAAACAATCTTGAAAAACTTAAACATGGCTACCAAAGACTATGAATAATTTCAAAGATCCAATGGAAAAAATTTATGCGGAGCTTATTTTAATTAACATATGCAAAACTTGTTCGGGCTGGTGGGACCTCTTAATATTGAACAATTTTAATTCTTTTTTACCACAGTGTATCTTTCCACTAATAGAACTCAACTATATACCAGACAGCTCAAAAGTCTAAAAAAAAATTTGGTGATGCACCCAAATGATCACACATGTACAATTTTTTATTTTGCTGAATTGGCCACAGCTTTTAAATAGTTTGATAATTTTTGGGCATTTTAGGTATAAAAATGGCGCTTAAAATTAAAAGTAAACTAAACAAAAATAAGAAAATAAAAACTATAAAAAAAAAAAAGAAAACATAAGTTTTAATTTTTTCTGTGAGATTTACATAAAATGGCATTGAATTTTTACATAAAATGGTGTGCTATAAACACCACACCAGCCTATTTATTCCTGCTATAACTTAATGCAACAAAATTTTGTTTATAAATCAGTTTGGAATAATTAACTTAGAAACGTTGATCTTTATGCAAATCTTTTAAAAGTCGATTTAAAAGATGTGCATATATATATATATATATATATATATATATATATATATATATATATATATATATATATATATATATATATATATATATATATATATATATATATATATATATATATAAAGAATTTATAAAAAATTTAATTTAATCAAATAAAAAATACAAATTTTAATTTAATATGTACTACATATATAATATAATAATAGTATTTAAATTATGTGTTTCTTTTAGTCGTGTTATATTCAATTGGGTTCACAGATTTATTGGAATGACAGCTTGGTTAATAGCAGGTTATAAACATTTTTTGGTTTCTGTTTTTTGGCTTTTTTTTTATATATAAAATGCTTTTTTCAATTGAATATTTTTTGATGTAGTTTTAAAATTTGACTTCTTTTTTACAGTTTTAGCTGTTGTATTTGGATTGAAAAAATTATCAATTGATATTGTTCCAATCATTGTATTTGCATGCATTGTTCTTGTTTTATTTATTTCTCTTGATATCATTCAACTGTTTCTTATACGTAGTTCTGCTATAGGAAGTTCTACATATGGTAATTTTTAATTTGTTTTTGTTTGATTAACTACAAAATTTTTTATTGAAATATTTGTTTCTCATATCATTTGTTTTTTTAAAGCAAAATTCATTTCCAAGTCTGACTCTGCTAACAATTTAGAAGTCAATGCGCAAGTAAAAAAGAAGGTAAACTTTTTCCTTTTGACTGTGTTCAATATTATTAAACAATTTCTATTAATTGAGCATTATGCTTTTATTATTAAAATCAATAAAAACAACTTTTATCATAAATCTAAGTTTCATTTTGGCTTTTTTTAGTTAATTTTATAATAACTTAACAATAACTGATTGTTGGATGATAGGGATGAAATATTTTATCAACAACAGCTGATTGGTTAATGACAGGGATGAAATTTAATATTCTATCAACAACAGTTGCTTGATGACAGAGATAAAACTTAATATTCCATTAACAACTGTTGGTTGATGAAAGTGATCAAACTTAACAACTGGTTGGTTGATGAAAGTGATCAAACTTAGTATTACATTAAAAAGTTGTTTTTATTCTTTAATGTAATAGGATAGGTTAATTTTCAAAACATTTTTAAAGTTTTTCACATGGCTTTTCTTTTCTTCGACCATATGATACTGAAAACTAATTTTTTTTTTTTTTTTTTACATTAATGTTTAGTCTTTTTTTTTTTTGTAGTTTTGTGATTTATTTTTTTAAAATTCCAATCAAAATCATTAAAATATGACTGGGATCCTGAATCCAGGTTTTCTTAGTTTAAAGGATTTACTTCTTAGTTTCAATTTTTAAGAGAAAAAATTTAGTCATTAGTGTTTTCTATTTATTTACTAAACTAAGTACCTTAGTCTCAAATCACTTAACAGAATAAACTCCCATGATAAATTTTGATAGCAGTTTTAAACTTTGAATATCAAAAGATTTTCACAACTTAAATTTACCATCAGAATTTATCATGGCAATTTATTCTGTTATGTGAGATTAAGGTAATATACTTAGTTTAGTAATTAAATAACTTATTTTTTCTATCAGAATTTGTGGAGATTTTTTGGATTCAAAGTAGTCTATTGTAAACATTTTTATTTGCAAGATTCAAACATACTATATGATTCTGTGGGCCAAGTGTAATGTTCTTAAAATGTGGGCCAAGTTAAATGTTCTTAAAATCATAAAGGAATAGCTGATACTAATGCATTCTTTAATATGCACACATTCTTCTGATTTTAGACAATGCAACTTCATTTACAAAATGAGTCTCTAAAACAATGTCAAGCTGATGTGTTTTTGAAATAGGAAGAACAGTATTTTTTTGCTTTCCATCCAAAGCTAAAATTAAAATCTTGGTTGGTCAAATTTCAGCCAATAGAAACTAATTGGTTTTTAGCCTTATGTGTCGCTATTCAATCATATAGCAATATGTTCTGCAATATGTTCACCAGGTGTTTGACTTAGTCACTCCTTTGAATCATTTATTAAGTTAAATAAATACTTTTTAGCAAGCCCAGAACAGACACAATAATGATCTTCTTTAATTTTCTGTTGAAGAAATCAACCATAATCATTATATAGAACTATTATTGTAAGGTCCTTTCTACTATCAAAAATTATAGATTGTATATCATCTTCCTTAACTTAATTGTTTCAATTTACTTCTGTTACTCTTTACTTTAATCTCTCAATTATTTGAATGATCTAAAGTATCACTTGTATGTGCAATAAAAACCTACTTTAAAAAAATAACTTTATCTGCTTTTAATATTGCATTGTCTATTTATCTATCAGTATCTATTAGTCATCTATTGAAACTGTTTTTGTGTTACTTTTACCAAATTCCTTTTTATCAGCTTACCCTATTTGAAGGATTTTTTTTTAACCAATTTTATTACTGTCACTTTAAAAATTAAAGTTTATTGACATGGTTTTTATATTTCTTAGGAAATTTGCAAACAATATAAAGGCTCTGGATGCACCTTTCACATAATTCTTTGCATGATTTTATTAAACATGTACACCCTTTTACATCAAACAGTTTACCTAATATCACTTTATAATCAAAGGCTTGTTTAGAAGTTCTCATACCTAATGCCATATTATGTTTTCTTTCGGTCTCTCATAATTTTTTCTTTTCTTCTTTCATAAATAATAGGGACTAGCTGTCCAGACCGGTTAAAATATGGGTCTTTACCAAGCCAACCATTTATAATTTTACTATTTCACACCAATTATTTCTATACTTATTTCTTATTTAATTCAATATTTTTTTAATGGTAGGAATAACAAATCAAAAATTGATTTAAGGGCAAAAAAAATTAACATACGCACCTTATATACATACTTAGAGCTTATAAGTGATTTATAAAATGAATTGTTTTCCTCTAACATGCACAACTTTGATAGCTCAGTGGTTTAGTACGCTCTCAATGGTTTTGTTTTGCAAGGGTTCAAATCTGCCCCTTAATACAAAGCATTTTAAATTATTTTCAATCTGACCATATATATTTAAAGAAAAAAAATAAATTAAAATTAAAATAAAAAAAAGCAAAAAAAAAACTTTTAATTGTTATATTAAAGTTTCTAGCTACGGGAAATTTTTTCCCCAGTCTCTACAGCAGTAGAGGCAAAAAGGAGTGGTAGGAATAGCGGGCTTATTTATATTTTTCTTTATCAAGTTTCAGACCATCTGAAGCTTATAAGTTCTAATTACCTGAGCACATTAATAACATAAGTATCATAACATAAGCGCAACAAATTTCTTCCGGTGTTTTGATATTTTTAGAAATTATAAGTTTTTTTTTTATATCTTTCCTTTTTGTTTGTTAAAGTATATAATATCTTTGTATATGTTATGTATATAATATTTATAAAACTTCAAAAGTGTTTTATTTTGTAATTTAAAAAATAAAAATACATTAAAAAAAAATTTAAGTGCCCATGGTAGGATTTGAACCACGGCAATTTACTTCAGAAACGTTGCGGGCTGACCACTTCGGCCACGAAGGAGTGTGGTCCTATTAAAGTTTTAACATTATTTTACAAACAAAAGACTTAGTAAAACAGCAAATAAACTTTTTCAAAAATTCTCTCTCTTTCGTTTGTTATAGTTTATAGTATCTTTATATATGTGAAAGTGTTCTATTTTGTATTTTTTTAAATCAGAAAAGATTTAAAAAAAAAATAAAGTGCCAGTGGTAGGATTTGAAGCACGGCGCTTTGCATCTGAAACGCTGTGAGCTAACTCTTCAGCCAATAAGGTGTATTATATGTTAAATGTTTTAATAGTATTAACAAACAAAAGATGTAATAAAATGGCACATACATGCTGTAGATCAAAATTAAGGAGATATTGTTGCATTGTAATTTTAAAGTAAAATTTAAACTGTATAACTTGATATATGCTTGAACATTACATAACATGAAGTTTTACATAAGTTAGATATTTGCATACACTTACGTTCATATTTTCTTATAAAAAATTCTGTGACTCTTTCTTGTTACTACCTCGGTTGCAATGGCTGCAAAGAGTTCTGTATCAAATATGCCTAAATGGGCACTACTACTACTACTACTACTACTACTACTACTACTACTACTACTACTACTACTACTACTACTACTTCTACTACTACTACTACTACTACTACTACTACTACTACTACTACTACTACTACTACTACTGCTACTACTACTACTACTACTACTACTACTACTACTGCTACTACTACTACTACTACTACTACTACTACTACTACTACTACTACTACTACTACTTCTACTACTACTACTACTACTACTACTACTACTACTACTACTACTACTACTACTGCTACTACTACTACTACTACTACTACTACTACTACTACTACTACTACTACTACTACTACTACTACTACTACTACTACTACTACTACTGCTACTACTACTACTACTACTACTACTACTACTTCTACTACTACTACTACTACTATGAAGAATGCACTTTAAAATTCAAGAGATTTCAATATTATAGTGACCTACCATATTAAGGCCAATAAAATGCTGATTTATTTCTTGATTTATTTTTTGTTTCCAAATTTCAAGATTAAATTTTCAGATTATTATTATTATCTAAAATTAAGCAAAAATGATGAATTAATGTAAAACGAACTTTTAAAGTACTTTATATTACTTTAGATATATTTTTGTAATATTTCATTAAAATGGAGAGTTTAGTTTACTATTATGAAACTTTTTCTGCAATAAATTCATAAAAGGTCTCTTATAAAAGCTATAGGCAGAGCTAGCCCACTAAACTTATGAGCAGCTTTTTTTAAAGCTTAAAACACTGGTTAATGTTTGTTTAGAAAAAAATTTGTGTCTAAGCAATTTTTTTTTCATTTTCTGCCTTATTTTATCAGGCTGTGTATATTCAATATAATTAGAAGAAAAAATTTTTTTTTAAAGCTTTCCCGATTGAAAAAATAGTATTTATGGAAAAAAGTAAATTGAATTTTTCTGCATGCTAAACTTTTGAGCACTATTGTATATAAATAAATAAATAAATTATATATATATATATATATATATATATATATATATATATATATATATATATATATATATATATATATATATATATATATATATATAGATAGATAGATAGATAGATAGATAGATATATATATATATATATATATATATATATATATATATAGATAGATAGATAGATAGATAGATAGATATATATATATATATATATATATATATATATATATAGATAGATAGATAGATAGATAGATAGATAGATATATATATAGATACATACATAAAAATGGATTATTTCTAATTTTGTAAAATGTATTCTTAACATCTGACAAAAAGCGTTCTGAGCGACAACTATCACTGATGATAATTCTATTTATAGAATTGCTAAAAAAATCCTAAATACTCAGCAAAACAGGTTGCACAAGAAATAAATCTGCCACTTAAAAATCAAATATCAATACAAACAGTTAATAGAAGACTAATAGACCGTAAACTGTTGTGCCACGTTGCTGCCAGAAAATCATTATTAAAACCAATAGACAGTTTAAAACGAGTTAAGTTTTCCAAAGCAATTTTAAAATGAATAATTATACGATAAGAAAAATTGTTTTTAGTGATGAATCTAACATGACGTCCT